CCTTCAAGGCTCCGAGACGCAATAAAATGTGCCGTTGAAACATTGTTAATCCTGCTGCGCATTGCTTCTTGCTTGACGTTAACCTACTTTCCCTCGACTTCCGTCCCATCGGGAGCAAATCGCTAAGCGGTTTAAGATACACAAGAGCCACATGTAAGGCTTCCCCCATTACAAAAACTACCAGATAAACAAACGAGGCTACGAAACGCCATCACACCGGCAACACCCGTCCGGGGTGAGAGAGACGGGCACTCCACGCAACACGTGGTGTGGCCCCAGGGTTGAGTTCCCTCACTCCGCCGTGTTTGTACAGGCAGCCTAGCCAGAGACGGAGCTCCACACAAACAGGGGAAAAAAAGCGTGCTTCATTAATGGGATTCCGAGCGAGGCCACGGGTGAGTGGAGCGGAGAGAGAGAGGAGAGAGGATGCTGTGTTGGTTGTAGCACAACGGTCCAGGATTATGCGCTGCCCCAGGTGCAGAACGTGTACTTCAACTGAAGCACAAACGGTTACCCCCATCTTCATTTCCTTGTTGAAAACTTTTTGTTCTTTGTCGATAATTTGTTTCTCCACAAATCTGGCTGTCGCCTGACGATGCCAGCTGCAATTACTGGCGAAACGTCGCACTTGATTTGTAAATGTTGTGGGTTTACTGTTCAACACACCGGTGTGCTGTACTTGTAACAAATTGGCATGTTCTCTTCACGTCGCAAGCCTTGCTAATTGGCTGTGTCGGGTGGTGGCGGCTTTTTAAAATTACACGATCTAACCCCAACAAACCTCTATTATGGATAACTTTCTGTTTGTTTGTGTGTGTTTTTTATTTTGGTCCCATTTCTTAATTTGTTTATTCATGTTAGATATTCGCTTGGTAGTAGTAGGGTTTTCATCTGCTTGGTGTGTCTACGTGTCTGTGTATTGGGCTTCTTTCGCGCCGTATGTAGCCAACCGCGTATATGGGATTTGGTCCTTATATATAATTAATCTAGATCGTTGTGGGATGCTGTTGGCATGAATGACGCTATTTAAAATGAAAGTAGTATCATTATAAAAAATGCAAGTCGTGAATGTCTGCTACGCCTCATTGCAATACCAAGCCATTGAACAATCAACAAATATTGTTGAGATTTCTGCTCTCCGGCAAATCTAACGACTCTCTCATTCGCTTCACTCTCCCACCTCACCTCGCTTAACACACAATCGCCACTAACAGTAGCGGTGCAGTGTGGTTGGCACGGGCCCTGGTGCGAGGAATTAAATGTGCCCCCCCCCCGTCCAATTCCACTCCCCCAGTTTCGTAGTCCGAGGCCGTTGCAGCTGCACAGCCTGTCCACTCAATAGCCTCACCCTCCTCTTTTTGGCGCGTGCTGACAGCCCGACCCTGAGAGGCACGCGAGTAAACCCTCGCAACGTGCGAGCCACCCCACTTTCTTGCATCTCCGGCCATTTCTGTGGCAACCAGAAGGGGGGCAAACGACAGGCGCCGTGATATTGCACAGGCAGCACCCGTCCGCCCGGCACCGCTGTGTGTGTGGTGGTGGGGGGACCGGCGGTGGTGGTGTGTATGGGGGGGGGGGGGTAATGATTAATGCAGAGACCCCCGCTGGGAAAAGCTGGCTTTTGTTCACACGCAGACGGCCGCCGTCTTTGACTCATCCAAACCCTCAACCGAAAACCCCAGCAAAGTCCAGGGCCACCCGCCCGGCCTCCCCCCCCACCCCCCGCAACAACACTCCCACACAGACGCAGCAGCAGCCGCTACCACCTTGGTCTCTCGTCCCAATCTCCTGCAGTGACTAAGTAATCCGAAGGATCGCACGCGCTTCACTGCAGAGCCCCCACAAACCGCGGGACGTCACGGCGTAGGCATGCGGCAGGGATGTGGTGCCGCACGTGAGTGATGGCGATGAGCAAGTAGATTTCCTCCCACCGTAATGTCCCGTGGCGGAGGAGCAATGTCTACCACGAGCTTTGCTTGCTCTTACCCCAACGGTAAAATATCCTTCGTGTAAACCAATGTGTGGCTTGAAGACAATGAATCGAGTAATTTTGAGTCAGGAATGCAACGATAATGCTCGTTTGGGAACGCGGCCATTGGCAACGCTGCGCAATCAACCTGGCAGAATTTCAGCGGCCGTTCGCTCGCGAGTCCGCTGTGTATTGTGTTTACATACAACACATTTGTTAGTTGTTATATTTACGAGACAAAAAGAGTGCAAAAGAGCAAAGGTTAAAAAAAAATGCCATGTAAATTTTCAGTAGGCGTAGAGCTAACGTTCTTACCGCATTCGAAAGGAAGGAAATTGTGGTTTTGAAAGGCGGCCGTAACAAATGTTACGCTCAAATACAAGTACATGCACCGATGCCACCGAACTCAGTTATTACAGGTTATGATTGATCTCGTGCAGAAGACACGGCCCTCTGGGCCCAACGGCTCGAGTGTCGTGACTCGTTGTGAAACGTGTGCAGGGAACACGTTGGGTTCACGAAACAAAAAAAATTGGAGAAAATAAAAAAAAATACGAGCAGACGCAAGGGTTTCCAGAATGACCCGAGTGAACGATCACGTCCGTTACCCACGCTGGAATGTGAGTGTCCCCTTGCAGGCTGCCCCGAGGACGATGACATTTCAAACTCGGGCAGGAATCAGCTTGGCCCCCCCTCCCCCCTCCCCCCCCCCCCCCCCCCACTTTGTGCGAGTCAAGTCGAGTCGATTTATTTTTTCTGTTAACGCGTCGGCGCCTTTCTGGCACATATCTGCCACCCAGAGGCGCCATCGCATCATTCACACGCGTAAACATAAACAATTATATCCGGTAAAAATACATAAATAAAGAAAAACCAAGTCTGTGGCTGTGAGTTAGTTTGTATGTGCGTATGCAAGCGTACAGAGAGCTGTGTTGTTGAGTTGCGACTGTGAATGCGGTGATGGAGTCGAGTGTGCGGATTGCCTCTGGGAGGGTGTTCCAGAGGTGTGGTGCTGTAAATGAGAAAGATCTGTCCAATCCCCCATTGGTTGTGTGTTTGGTTTTAGGTGGTTGCGGGAGGAGTGCTTGCGTTGAGCAGCAGAAGTGATCTGTCGTTTTGCTTCACGGGTATGAGGTTTCTGATGCAAGGTGGAGAATGGTTGAGTATTGCTTTATACGTTAACAGTATGATTCTCAAGTGTATTTCTCTGGATTATAAAGCACTCGGAAATGTAAGGTGCACCACAAACTTGTGCCCGGTGTTAATAAACTTCGACTAATCGAGTCATGCGTGCACACACACACACCTACCAAATTATAAGACGTGTCCTCAACTTTTGCTTCAAAATGCAAAGGAACTAAGTGTGTCCTATACTTCAGAGAATATGGTTCTACTACTACTACTACGACGACTGCTGCTGCTAGAGATCTCCAGTGACTGGTTTTTATCGATTTGTTTGCCAGGGGGAAGAAAAAAAAGAGAGAGGAAGTGAGCAAGTGGGGAGTGCATTCGATCGAGAGATAGGATTAATAAGTTGTGAGCAACTATTGTGGAGCTTTCCATTAGCAACACAACCCGTGTCCCGGCCAGCAAAGCAGACGCGGCGGCTTACGTATCGCATCAAGCGGCGGGCAAAGAACGCCGCGCGAGCCAGAGTAAATTCACGTGTCTTCGAGTTAATGAGCGAGTGTCCGAGTGAGTGAAAGAGCGGGAAACCCGTTCGTCCTCACGTTAATGTGGCAGTGAGTAAGTTGAGAGTGATTGAGAGATGAAAAAAAGCTGCAGGACTAAGGGACCGGGTGACACATGATGGGGAGATCAGTGGCACAAAGGTGATGGGTATGACAAACCCCAAATTGCGGGGAAGTACAAAAATCGTACTTCTTCGCAATCAACCCCCCAACTCCCACGTGACACGCAGCAGCCATTTTTTTTTTTACCCTCGGACACACACGTGTTTACAATTAAGCCCCGTTGCCATGGCTACAAGATTGTGTCTTAACTCGGGCTGTGCACGCGGCTGAGAGCTAAGATTCCCTTTTGCATCGCAATGCCGAGCGCCTCGTTGTCAGACACCGGTGGTCGGCGAGTGAAGGCCAACTTCAGGCAGAGGCTCCCCTGGTCTCGAGACTGTGGTCCGCTCTCTCTCCGAGGTCCCGTGCAACAAACTCGTTTTCGCCATCTCCCAAATACGGTGGCACGTCCCGGCCTGAATTAAGTCGTCGGCGTCACCCTCGTGAAGGTAGTTTGCGTTTTATTCGGCGAGTTCCTAGAAATGAATGCCTCGATTCCCTCGTTATAGAGCTCGGTTGGCTTACGTTAGCTCTCCTTCAATTATACTATATAACAATAATAAGACATTTTATTAAAAAAAATTACAAGTCTCACTCAATGTCAGACCTATTATTTAGGAGGTTCCTAGCTTGGGATGTGAACAATGACGTGGGAAAGAAACTGGAAGGAACCCACCACGGATGAGCGAATAAAACTCAAAAGACCACACAGATGGGTTCGCAAACCCATTTGCCGTGCTGCCATCTGTTGGCCACTTCGAAGTCCAGTGGCTTCGGCTGTACGACGAATGAGTGAGCGACCAACCAGCCCCGTGTCTCCACGGCGCTAGATCGTTGCATTGACTGCGCTGTGTGACGAAATGTTGCATGGGCTGTAGGAGTTTAGCAATGCATTAAATCATCGATGTAGATCTATTATTATGCTCAAGGTGCTAGCATTGAATCGTTGGTGTAAGAAGTGATCGTTTCCAATGTGTACCAATAACATGCAAGGTCAGTGCTCGTGTTACATTTGGGCAAACGGAGGAATAATGACATGGTGAAAATAGACAAAACAGAAGTGATTCTTGAACATGATCGTGAAAATTCAGCGAATTGCTGAAAGACTGACTCATTGTATGACTCATTGTACGAGTCAGTCTAAATGCACTCTATGTATATTCGGGTGTTTTACTGATAAAAGAATCAGCAGTTTACCCGAGCTTTCGTACGGGAGACACGGGGTGGTATGGCCATACCTTGCGTGGCTTGAGTCTGTCCTGGTGGTCGTACTGAGCAATGCCTCTTGTGCTGAGGCCCAGCCACCAAGGGAGTCCCTGTTTGTCCTGATGACGGGGGCAAACACGCAGATACGTGAGCATTGGCTACGTACGGCGTGAAAGAAGTTCAACATACATACAAATAAAACACGCAACGTTCCCCCGTATAGCCTTCATAAACTGTTGGGGCAAGTGCTGTTAGCGAGCAACTGCGAAGGCCAGAAGGGCACACGAGGGAGTGGGTGACCAGCAACCACGCCCAGCCACCTTTGTCTTCCTAGTGGCGATGTTTACACACCACACTAGTGGCTATGTTTACGCACTGCACCAGGTACTCATTTGAGGCTGAGGCGACCTAGGGGAGGCCCAGGACCAGTTCAGATAATCGTCACTGGTGTTGGCCTTGAGCGGGAATCGAACTCAGGGCGCCAGATTCGCAGCGCAGTGCGCTAATTGCTACGCCACCGCTCCCCATACCATACATATATACGTATGCGCGCACACACACACACACACCGCACGCAGATGCACACAAACGAACACACACAGACGCATGCACACAAACATGCGCACCACCATCACAGCATGCAGTGTGCTGTGTCTGCAATGGGGTATTCATCATAATCGAGAGCAGCAAAGTGCAGTGTTTTATAATTCAAAGAAGCACGCGGAACAATTTGCTCTTTCACTAGGCAGGCACCGGGCAATAGCAGGACGGGATACGGGACCCGTGGGTAAGGGATGGAACTGTTTTCCGAGAAGCAAAAAAAAAACGTCAACATGTTACCCCTTGCAGATTCAGAGAGCAAAGGCTACACAATGTGAGAACCTATTCAAGTCAATTAAACTCCATCTGCCGGTTGTTACGGACGGGTATAGTTTTGCCACCTTAGCGCCGGACTCACCTTCACCGAGTAGTAGTGAACTCCGTACGTGGGCAGCAACTCGACGACGCTCATGTAACTGGGGGGAGGAAGAGAGAGAGAGAGAAAAAAAAAATCAGCAGAAAGAGGAGCCTCAACGTCGTGAGAAAATACCGCGGGGCAGAGCGAGCGCCCGCTGCAGAACACCGCACGAATCTGTGGGCTCTATTACAGGGGTGAATGCACTTTGTCGGGGGGGGGGGGGGGGAAGCTATTTTTAAATCCCCTCCTGGCAATCCATACCCGCTGGTGCCTCTATCCTGGTCACGACTTGCCATACGACCCCTTTGTCCGCAGCAGTTTGGGCCAGGTTCGTCGAGGCTCGCATTGGCGACGCCTTGAGCACGCAGTGGAACTTAACCAGCAAAACTAAATAAGCCAAAATTGGGGCCGAACATTAAGCTGGTATGTATGTTAAAATTGCACAGCAGTTTGGGGCTAATGGGCAGAGACTGGGGAGGGATGGGGGGGGGGACATTGATGTAGGATCAAATGCTTGTGATTTGGGGAGTTTCAACAGAGGACTGCAGAGTGTATTGCTATGCACTTTGTGCAACATTACGACTGGAATATTAGTCCAGTCACAGATGCGGGAGCAGCAGCATTGGCATCAGAATCAGTGGCGTGGGTGTCTGGAAACCCCCAAACTCTTTAGATATGAGACACTGATACCAATGAGTCTGTGCTTTTTCACTTCAACAAGCTGACAAAAATGCTGATTGTGCTGATTGAGAGAACCTGGAGTAAATGCACAGTGGCACACAAAGTATTGGGCTCAGGAGTGGGTCAGTAGTTAGTAGGAGCATACATTTAAATACAACATTACTTAGCTTTGTTCAAACACATGTTAAATAGGGGTTGTCAGTCGTACGTATAGTGTGGCAACGATAAGAAATTCATAACATTTAGCAATTACTGGGTCCCTGTGCATTTCTAATGTAGAAAATCACCAACAGGAACCATTCACTAGCCGGATACTTTGACTTCCAAAGGGTAGCACTGCACCTCTCGTCAAACCCCTCCCACCCCCCCCACCATGTGGAGCTGCCTGATTTTTAACACAGCACAGATGGTCAAAGAGTCGGGTGCCAGCATAGCTGACCTGGGTTAAGTTTGGGCGATTCCAAACGGAGAGAGGGGGGCGTGTGGAGAGTGTGGGGTGGAAGTGTCAGCGGCGTGAAATTGGTTGCTCGGCTGGCGGGTAGCCTGGACGTTTAAAGAAAAAAACGGAGCATTCGGTGCGACGATTTCAGCTTACTTGACGATAGCGTGACCCCGCCTTTGACTCTTGAGCTTCTGGTAATTTTTCACGACCTGATCCTCGCTGTGAAATGGAAGGCACAACAAAGTCAGGGCCAGCGAACTCTCCCTGCGACGACGACGGAGACAACCTCGTAAAAATTCACACTTCTATACATTTGTTTTTATTGGTGGCGACATCTGCGCACGTCATTCCTCACGAGCCAGCGCTGCGTATTTCCCGCAGATAAGCAGGAATCCGCGTGAAAGTAAATCAATGAAAGCAATTTCCCCGTCTGTCCGTTTGACCCGGGCAACATTTTATTTGGAGCTAATTCTCCTGCGAAAGTGATTGCGCCGTGCCTGGCTGTAATCAACAGGAGGCAATTGTTCACAATTACTACAAACACTTAATTTTGGCTTTAAGTGAGAATGCGGTTGAGTGATTATTATTGTAATGTATCCCCTTTGCTATGCGCTTAACACCCGGATGCCAACATGATCCACTTGCACACATATATGTAATTACGTATAGAATAATTAATTGCTTCCAATATGCTAAATAAACTCAAATGAATGCGATACATTCTGCTTAATTGTAATTTGCTTTTCAGCATTAAACGTTTCGTTTGTTTAACGTCTTCATATGCAACTGCATGCCGAGTGAAGACAATTGCACCATTAAAATGGAAATAAATTAACACACATATAATAACGTAACATTCCAAAAAACTTTTAGCTTTTAAAAAAGCTATAAACCATGAGGTAATGTAAAATATATATAAAGTGGTTTTCCAGTCAGTTGAGAACTCAAGTCAGCACTCATCCCCCATTTACAGCCCTGGGCCAGAGTTGAAATTCCACATTCCTCTGGCAGGGCGAGTCTTTCCATAGAAACGTAAAACCTTCTGGTTGCAAGCCACACTGCCCTTGTGCCACCCTGCTGGATTATATAAACTTATTCTCATTACAACTACAACTCTTTCTCAATCCAATGCTGGATGAAGGCACCCCCGTTATCGTTTTTGTTTTGCCTTACTTCACCACACTGATCAGTGCGGTGAATTGAGGCACCCGGGACCAGTTCAGACAGCACACGCCACCGATGTTAGCCATGGCTGGGAACTGAACTCAGAATTCCGGATTCATAGCGCAGTGCGGTAACCAACTACACCACTGCCCCCCCCCCCGCCCCTATTATTAACTGTACGCTTACATCCTGTTGGTCAAGACACTGTTGTAGGCGGGCCACCTACAATGCCGAATGCCGCGAGGGTCATTTGACCATACTTCACCGCGATGGCATTAAAAGAGAGACAAGCGTAAACATTAGCGCTCGTGGTTTGTTTTAATAAACACCCACCCCCGGTGCCCTTTCGATATGATCGCAGGTTGATTGGTGCTCCCATGGCGCACAGACCAATGGAAACATTTAGCCCGACAGGCCTGGCCACAAATCCCACCCGCGCGCTGGAATTCCAGCTCACCCCAGCCGCATAACGAAGTCAAAGCGTGTACAGACAGCATCTCTCGCGCAAAAGGGTACTTATCTGAAAAATCAGACCGCAAATAACCCCCGCCTTCATTTATTTCTCCATTGGTTTCACGGCAAAGCAGCGTTGGTTACTTTCAGCCTTTTATGCTCAGTGACAGTCACCGACGCCGTAAATTGTTTTGCGAGCGCACGTGAGACCACAATTAGCCCCACGTGTATACCAAACACGCACACGGGTCTTGCTAACTTGAACACATGTAACGACGTTAATATATTTGTAGCTCCCTCGGCACACGGACCAACGGCAACATTTACTGTCAAAACCGGCCACTGCTTCGAAGTGTGGTCCAAATGCCCTCTCAGAGGGGGGGGGGGGGCCTTTCTAGAGCTCCCTCTCATAGAGACCCCTTCCACCAGCAGTTGCGTGAGAGGCAACTGCTGGTCTGCACCTTTTCCCTTTTGTAAACGCAATTGCGTCGAAGTGTTTGCTTTTTTTTTTGTTTCACCCCAGGATGAAAACTGGGCCTTGTTTTTTTTTGTCTTTTTAGATTTCACTTTCAGCGAAACCGAAACGGCGGCACGTTCACGCTAATGCCGCTCTACCGCGGTGAACCTGCCGAGCGCGCGACTTTTATTTTCGAAAACAAACGCCGGCGTTTCCACGGGAACGCTCCTTCCCCACATCTGCCGCGTAGACGGGCGAATTTGTGCCGTGGAACTGGGCGAACGGAGAGGGCACGGTGAAGTGCGTTCTGCCTCTCAGGAGTGGCAGGGCGGAGGGGAGCGCATTCCCACGCCCACACACGGCCTCCGTGTTCTTGTGCACTGAAGCCGCCCTCCTGCCTCTCTAACGTCCGCTGAGTCGTGGTTGGGGGGCGAGGGGGGAGTGCGCGGGGGGGGGGGAGTCAAAGTAAAAAAAAACTGAAAGAGCCCGATAATGGCAAAGAAGAGCCATTGTGTCACCGTTTTATACGGCCTTTGTCGCACCATTAATTGCTGAATACATTTCGGCTGCGATTGTTCGCCTGCGGCAGCCTTGCCTCGCGCCGCTGCAACCAGTGAGGCTGTAGGAGGGCAGGGGAAGAAGCTGTGGGAGATAATGATGACGACGTTGGTGGTGGTGGTATCACCAGGAGATGAAAAACATGGTTAGTGGAACAGTAGGGGGGGGGGGGTGGGGGAGGGTGCGGGGTGGGGGGGCTCAATCCCTTCACGGCTCTCGTACAATACCAAAAGAGCAGGAGTTGCCGCGGCAGTTTGCAACAACAACAACAACAAATGAAAGCACGGGGGGCAGATGGGAAGAGTGTATTTTTGGTGGGATGGTGACAATCGCAGAGCCTCGGTGAGCGAGTGCACAACGAGGCGGCCGCCCACCGAGGGGGCCTCTGTGCTAGCACGGTCGGCTACGTACGGTGCGAAGGAAGTTCGACGCACACACGCACGCACGCACACAAGTGATGACGGAGCAGAACGTCTCTCGCTGAGCTGATGCAATGGGCAACTCACCAGAACGTGATGGAGGGATGCTCCTTGAGGGTCCGCGCTGGGAGGGCCGACAGCCTTTTCAGCTCATCCTTGGTGACATCATCACTGTGGGAGAGAGAGGAGGGGGGGAGCATGAGAATAAGTCTATCATTATTTTAATAACCGTTACCATGTATACATCCTTAATCTACTTACGGAGACATGTCATGAGGCCAAGAAGAATACCACAAAACCACTTCTCTAGCCACTTCAATAGGCTTGACTCGTTACCCAACATTCATCCTTCGCTCTCGCCACACGTCACTGTGAACTGAAAAATTAAAAAAAATTGGGTAGCAGAGCAGAACCAGCTGGAATTGTGAGAGAAACGCCCCCCCCCCCCCCAACATTTACAAAATAATATATAGCAGCACTCCGGTACCATACATCACAGCACTTGATGTCAATGCACGCCAATGTAATGTATTTGCCGTGTTAAATAATCCACGTGTTTCAACACACGTGCACACACGCACACTTTCAGAAGCGCACATGCTCACTTATTACGTCCACATGTCTTTATGCACAAGATGACCGTGCCCTCATCCTAATCACTCCCATGTAGCTTCTTCCTGTTGTTTGTCCGTATAAATGAGCTAATGAGTTCATAACTAGTTTTATACATTTGGCATTCACGCCAGTGTCATAGCACGACGGCTATGACAAAGGTGCGATCCTTCACCATATAGTCCGCCAATGGGGGTGATGATGCTGTGCGGTTTCACCAAACCAAGAATATTTGCGGTTGACTTTTTCAATTTGGACCATCATGCCGGCACACACAGCCTACCCTCGTTCACAAAACCAAACTCCGACTCAAACTAACAGTGGTGACACAGGGTCCAGCGCACATTTCGCGACCGACAACATCAACCCATGCGCAGTGTCATTCTTCTTCTTTGGTTCTTTCGGTAAGAACCAAAGAAGATGAATCATTGCAGTCACGAAAGCTTTAAATCGAAATTTAGTGTCATTCTTGTGCCGCTTCCACCTCCAGGCATGAGCTCGCGATGGGTCCGCCACGGCGAGAAACAACTTCTCGTGGGAGAGTAGCACTTGGGGGGGGGGGGGTGTAGTCACTTCCCCTCGAACCTCTGGAATGCCACCCTCACCAAATCTACTTAAAGCAAACGTGCGAGCGGGCGGGCGGTAGTAGTGAGTCCTGGTGTTTTTGCTAAAAGCCGACTGCGTTGTCCGACACGGTCGCAACGGCTCTAAATCGATGCTCGCTGTGTCCCCCCCCGCTAACCCCCCCCCCCGTCACGCGTGTCCAATTTCTCCAAGATTTCATCGAGCGAAGGCAACCCCTGCCCAGGGGTCTGGACAGCGAGAAACCCCCCTTCGCTCTCTGAACCGCGCAGCTGCTGAAACAAACAAAAAATTGTTGCCAATTGCACACGACAGTTTTCGAGTTTGAGTGATAAAACAATCATTGTAATTCACAACCCCCTTTTGTCAATCGACTGTTTGGGTTGTAAGCCTCCCCACACTGTCGGTTTGACCTTGCTTCACTGACGTGCACAGTGTGGGTTGGTAAAGGGGCATGGTCCCCCCTTGCATTGGTTCAGATATCGTTCGAAACTAACGTTAACCGAGACTGGGAATGAAACCCAGGTCGTGGGGTTGAAAATGCAGGACACAACCACTATTCGATCCTGGTAACCCTGGATTGTATTGAACAATGTTAACGTATTAAGCACAGCTAAAGCTATCACATGAAATGAGGTTTTTTTCACTTCGCTTGAATTAATTAAAAACCTGAGAATATAATAAAGAAAAATGTTCCGTGTGACTAACATGCGACAAACACCTCTACGGCAGGGCATGTGGGAAGGTACAATGCCCCTCTTGAGGACAGGAGGTCCCTTTAAAGGTTCTCGGAGCAGTTCTGTGATAACTTCTTTGCATGGACTGTTCTTGCGAGCGCAGGGGTCACGCACTGCACTGGGAGGGCTCCGAATGGGCAAGTTCTTTGTCTCGTGATGCGAAACCGACAGCAGACTCGCAATGGAATTGGAAAAAGACCAACGAAATGGGTCAAGGCATTCAATGTATACCCATATTTACTATAAACATACATGTGCTGCGTACAATGTACGATATGCATGTGCTGTGCACAAAAGGCTTTTCTATGAAATTCTCGAATGCTAATTCAAATTAGGTATAGTAATACTTCACTGCAATTCATGCCAATCATTGTTTTTACATATAAAAAAAATCATGAAATGTATACTAATCCCATAATGACTGCACCTTGATTGCGATAACTGATTTTGCTTTGTTGACAGACATTGGCACAATAATGCAGTGTGTGTGTGGATTGGCTCCGGTGTTGTTTAATAACTCTCTTGGCCATTTAAGAGCGCTATTTGCATCTGTGCCAAGTGAATGTTTCTTTTAAGCCAAGCAAAGCGATAGTTCAAAATTTAACCACGGCACACAAAGACCCCCCGTATAGCCTAAACAGACTGTTGGGGCAAGTGCTGTTAGCGAGCACCTATGAAAGCTGGAACGGTACACGATGGGGTGGGTGGTCAGCACCATGCCCGGCCGCCTTTGTCTCCCCAGTGACGATGTTTACACACCGCACCAGGTCCTCATTTGAGCCTAAGTCGACCAAGGGGAGGCCCTGGACTGGTTCAGATAATCGTCAATGGTGTTGGCCGTGAGCAGGAATTGAACTCGGGTTTACAGGTTCATAGCGCAGCGCGCTAACTGCAAAAAAACTACCGCTCCCCACACACAGACACACCCCTGCACAAGCGCCATTCTTTAACGTTTCGAAACACCACATTGCACGATGCTCTGATCATCAGCGCAGTGTTGTGTTGAGGGAGCCAGATGAGATAGTGGACGACAGGATGGTGAGACACACAGAAATTACAAAGCTCCCTGGCTCTAAGTCATGTTCCTACTGTTGTTGCGCAGGTAGACAATGTCATGGGCAGCTACGGTGGTGGGATGTTAACTACCTCGCCTGGTATACAAGAGGTCATGGGTTCGATCCCGACCCTGACGCCTGCTGTATATTTCGAGTTTGCATGTTTTCGCCGCGATCGCGTGGATTTTTTCTCCGGGTCCTCTGATCCTTCCCTCAACATTTAGAAACAACGCGCGTATTAAGAGTATTTGGGTTGCTATACATTTTCACATGACGAGCCACTACGTTGAGTTATTATTTGTGGCCAGGTCGCTTATGAGCTAAACAGCTCAGTGGGGCCTTACCTGGTAAAGTAAAAATTGTTAACTTGCCATCCTCTGTTTTGGGATCTTGTTATGACAAGTGGCCCACGATGTTCACTGGGTCTTTACAATGCAATTGCCAGTAGATGGCACGATTTGCTGATGCCCCACTGAAGAGCTGTCAGACGTTTACAGTGAGGGGTGGAGCAGTGATTTGTCCACCGTGCTGTGAACCCAGTGTCATTTACAGCCACGGGTGAACGTCAGTGATATGAACCGGTCCTAGACCCCCCTCCCCCCCCAAAACCCCTCACACATTCACCAGCTACGCTGACCAGCATGGTAAGGAATGATCAAACAACCACCGTGATTAACACGGCATGCGGGGGGGGGGGGGGGGGGCCTTCATCCAGCAATGGATGGACAAAAGGCTGTAACGGGTTTGGGAATCAGCTCTACAACATTTTTGTAAAAAAAAAGTTGCCTTTTCTGAGCACTAAGCTACCCAACCACCACGCTAGTTTCCTGGGCATTCAAACATAACGCACTGCCCCCACCACCCACCCGGAGTTACAATCCACTAGCGCTTTTCGCCTCACATGACGAGCTCAACACATTTCCAGTCGGAACTCACAGTGAGCGGTGCATCATCCCGTGCGAAGTCTCTGTCAACCAACACCGCAGTAAGCTCCCAGAACGTGGAGTGAAACGTCCGACGGCCTTGCCAAACGACACGCGGTACCAACTCCACGGATACATCAGAAAACGACTACATCAGAAAACGACTACATCAGAAAACGACGGGGGGCACGCATGTTGTCTTTGTTTCATACGTCCGGCAGAGAGTGTTCGTCGCACGTCCATCAGACCAGTTTTTATTCCTCGGAGCTGGAATGAGCCGATGTAAATAAACTTGCCACGCTCGAGAAGCCATTTCGCCCGTAGGTGGCTGCACTACTTTCCAAGCCCAGGACGTGAGGGGTGCCGACTCAAGAGCTGTCACATGGTATTATTAGCCGGCCCTTGAGACACGCAGCCACCCCGCAATATAGGTTTCACGGCGTTAGCAGCCGGGGGTTAACGTTCGGGGAAGATGTGATTGCCCTCTTTGGCGGGTGTGTGTATGTGACCGAGTCGGCGATGGTGGGAACTGGGTACGAAGGCCACGCTCGCTGCCTTTAAACAAGCAAGAGCGCCCCTGTGCAAACCAGTTGAAAGCAGATAAAGTGGAGCCTCGGAAAATAAAGGTGCGGGGGGGGGGGGGAGGCTAATAAAAAAACAAAAATTAGGGGCCTGCATTAGCAGGACTTGGCTTGTGATAACAATGTTAACAAGGGGGGCATTTTTAAAGCAATTTCTTTTCGAAGAGGCCACCAACAATGAATGATTCTCATTATTCTCCATTAAGTGAAGAGACATTAATGTTTCTCTATTTTACTGAAAATATATTTACTTGGCAAATATTCAAATATAAAAACAATCAATAAATCGGAATCAGAATATTTATTTATATGGAAGGAATCCGATGAGCTGTAAAGCTCTTTTTCACAGATGTCCAGTAGAGGCGGGCCAGAACGTGACATGAAAACGTGGCCAAAAAAATATGAAGTTATTGCTAATGATACACGCAACAATTGTGGTACCTTCGCATACATTTTCATTTCATGTGAATGAATTCACCTGTAATTATTTTGCCATGTCAGCATTGGTGGTTGAGTGGTATAAATCTCGCCTGTCACGTGAGGGTGGCCTGGGTTTAATGCCTGGCAAAAAAAGCACCTAACAATGCGCCCTCTTGTTTCCGTATCAATCCTTCATATTTATCCCGAACATATATTACCGTCCCAATGAACTCGCAAATGACGGGATAAGCAGCCGCGACA